GGTGAGTAAGGAGGAGACAGGAACCATGTTCCCTCTCTCCCGGCTCCACTAGAGGCCTGGAGGAAACGTCTCACCGACCCGAGCTCCCGGACCGCCGCTTGGGGGCGCTCGCGCTCAAACCTGTCATTGCGGGCTGGGGACGCGCAGGCCTCCTCCGCCACGCCTGGAACCCCGCGGCGGACTGGGGCCGCTCCCCGAAGCCAGAGCGGAGAGCCCATCACCCGATGCCCGGCCCCACGCGCCCGTGGTCCCCTCGGTGAAGGGACCCCCGGTTCCCTCCAACGCAGTGGGAGCGCGGCTCGAGTAGGAAGGGACGCCCGGAGCGAGCCGAGACCGCGGGCGCAGACTGAAAGTCGCGAGTCCTGCCGGGCGTTGGCGAGGGTGGCTGCGCCCGCGGCCTGCGTACCCCGCGCGAGTCTTGCTCGGCCCTGGCGCCGCCTCGGCTCGATTTGCGGGTCTGCTGGCTTCCAAGAGGGTCCCGGGCCCTCGATCTCGCTGTCTTCGTTTGAACAAGACCCCCCGTGAGCCCGTGGCCTCCAAACCGTTTTCTCTCGTTTGTCCCTCCAGGCCGCCGCGGCTGTCCAGAGCAACAGGCCTGGTGGCAGGCGGCGCAGCGGTGCCCCCGGGGTCCCCGACGCGGCGCTTCGGATCCAAGACCGTGCCAGCCACGTGCAGTGCGGGCGACGAGCCGTCTCAGGAGGGCAGCCACCCGGAGCACGGTGCCCTACTGCCTTGCCCTAGCTTGGAACGCCGGGGGTCCGCTTTCGAAACGGAAAATTCACGGGAGAATCCCGCCCCAGTCTCCCCCAAACCTTGGACGTTGTAGAAAACCGTGCGGTGCGGGGGTTTACAAAAAACCCGCTGTTTCTGCTTAGCGGAAACTGAACCGATGACGCGAGGGGGCTGGCGGCAGGGCAGGTGGGGCGACTGGGAATTTTTGCCCTTCCTCGCCCTGCGCCGCTTGCCAGCTTGCCCGCTTTCAACGAAGCGCGCCATAGGAGGCCCTCGCTGGATACCCGGTCGGGGGCGGTGTGCGGCGGGCACAGCGAGCTCGCGACGGGGGCCCACCCTGGGCTCCCCCGCCCCAGCTGGGGGAGGGCGAACGCCCCCCTCTACCGTCACAATCCCAGGGCCTAGATGCCTGGAGAGCTCTGAGCCCGGGATGCAGAACTGCTGAGAGGACTTGAGGCGGGGCTGCATCGGAGTCAGTCTCCCCTGGGGACTGCTGCAGCCTTTATAGGCTGGAAAAGTAAAGGGGTTTTGTTTGCTTGTTTTTTTAAAAGCTTCTGGCCCTCTGCTTTAGCACCAAGCCTCCACCCCCTTTCAAGCAGCTCCTTCTCCTTGGATCACCTCATCTTTCTGAAATGCCTCCAACCCAAAGCTGAGTAAGACTTGGGAGGCTGGTGTGGCTATTTTCTCCTTTTCCTCAAAAATCATGCGGTGGGAGAGGCACCAGGTCTGCGCTGGGCAATGGGTACCGGGGTGCAGGGACCTCAGGCTTTACTCCAGGAGCTTCCAGCACAACTCCAAGACAAAGACCCTAGGCTGTCCCAGACCAAGGGCAACAGCATTCTGCCAGTGTGAGCTCACCGGGGTACAGCCACCCACACTTGCTGCTGTCTTCCTGAAGTCTGGTCCTCAGGAACTTCTAAAGCACCCTGGAGGTGAAAGGAGACATTGCCTTGAAGTCCCAGATTTCAGTCTTCAGGTTTCACTGCTGGTCACAAGACTTTTCTTGTTTGTGCTGATGAAGCAGTAAGTGTAGCCTTCTCAGAAGTACAGGATTCCTCAGACTGGGGTGGGTTAGACCCTAGTTGCAAGGTACGTGGCACCCTGGTGCCACTTGGGGGTTGCTGAGACTGAGAGTCAGCCTGGCATCTAACCAGTCTTCATCCAGACCCCTCCCAAGTGCTATGCTCTGTGCCAAAGGCTGTCAGGGAGAAGGCTAGGCAGGCAGGCTGTCAGGGAGAAGGCTAGGCAGGCAGGGGCTGCAAAATGTGGAGACCCCAGCTCAACCTGTAGCCTTTTTAGGGCAGGCGCTCAGCTGCTGCTGCTGCTGGGTGGTTCTAGCCCAGACATGCTAGAACCAGTTTCCTACGAATATGGTAGGGGTGGGGTGGGCGATAACGAGTGTCTATGGACACACACCCATACACGAGGTAATGGTGTTATGGATTTTCTATGTTTGCTCTATAATGACTTTCCCTATGGCACACACTGTATTATCCAAGGAACAGGTCCCAGATCTGTTCTCCTGGCAAGGCTGACTCAGGCTTAGTGCCCCAAAAAAGGCAACACTAGAAGAGACATTGAGCCTGGAACTAGACAAGTTCCAGAAAGTCTGCCTTGGCTAAAACATGGGCAAAACTCAGACCTGGGGGAAGTTTGATCTTGAAGCACCAAGGATCTCGGTATGGGCATCTTCCCTGAGAAGGCAGTGGCTGAGGTTGCAAAAACTAGCCACCTTGTCAAGGTTAGTATTCTTTAGACCCACCCAGCCCATAATCAGAAAGATCACAAATCTCATCCAATACTGGGAGAGAATGAGTTACAGCAGGCCGTAAACTGCCCTAAAGTTCAAACTAGGAAGTTACTACCCAGTCAGGCTCACCCCAGCTGAGCAGGGCACCCTACCCCTAGCCTGATAGTATCGAGATGTAAGATGGCCATGGCCAGGGCTGGACCAGTCTGCCAGTCATTAATCATGGAACTGAAAGAAAGGTCTCAAAAGAGTAGGCTGCCCTTTCCAGTGGGTCAGCAAGGTGGGCTCTGACCCTTGGGGCAGCCAGGGTAAATTCTTCCCTATGTCTCTCAGAGTCTCAAAGGCTGACTCTGGGCCATCCCAGAGCAGCACATAGGACTCAGGATAGAGTAGCCTGGAGGCAAGAGGGCTCATCTCAGTCTGCAGAGGCAAAGTCCAAAGCTACCACCTTGATTTCTGCAGAGCGCTAACCGTGGCACTGGCTTAGAACCGACTTTGACAGGTTTGTGACCTCAACATACCAGGGCAAGCCCCAAAAGCAAAAATCAGGATGAGTATGAGATTCCACTTTTTTGTGCCTGTGACACCTTCAGAGAAGTAGAATAATAGAGCAGGAGGGAAACTTCTGAAAACCTTGCTAAGTAAACAGACATTTGGGAAGAAGTACCAGCCTTTCCCTTAGATAACAAGGAAAGTCAAAGCTTGAACCCATGGCTCTGGACTCCCATTCCAGTGCTCCGAGAACTGCCAAGAAAGCTTAAGGAGGAGGGAAGAAACAAAGCTCCAGAGCCCTGGGATGAGGGTGAAGCCAGAGCTCCATCCTGATTTGGGTCCTGGCACGAGGAGAGGGGTCAAGCTCCAGCCTCCCAAAGAGGGCATTAGAAAAGCGGAAAGGACAAGTCCGGGAAGGAGCTAAGCCCCGACTTTTGAAAACCATAGAAACAGCAGCAACATCCCTCCCTTCCATCCCCAGCACGCTCACCTCCTCCGCCTGCCCGGCTCCCAAAGGACCAGCACCACGTGTTTCCACACACACCTTGACAAAGAAGCAAAAACACGACTCCCTTTTAAAGCCCCTCTTTCCGGAACTCAGCACCTCGGTTCCCGAGCTGGACGTGGCCAGAGCTGAGTTCGAGCTGTGGGGGTCGGGGGAGGAAGAGGGAGATGGAGGGAGTTACCCCCATACTGTCCTACCCAGCCGCCTAGCTTCCCTGGTCCCCGCCCCCCGTGGGCAGACAGCCGGTCTGCGCGATTCCCGGTTCTGTGTCGCCACTCCCGGACGGAGTCAAGTTCCGAGGAGGCCACACGGAAGTGCCGAGCGCTTGTAGGCCGTGGGACCCGTTGGGTTAAGTCTCAGTCCCCGCCCGGCGAGGCGCGGAGAACTCCGAGTCGGGGCGGGACTGGCCGCGGGGCAGCCGGCGGGTGAGGAGAGGGAGAAAAGACGGGATCCTCCAAGTAGATTTTCAGGCGTCCACCCGAGGCCACTGCCAACTTCTCTTCCCTTCGCCCTCCCCCTTTCCCTCGAGGACCGTCCGGTCCCGTGTTCCTAGGATGGGGGTGGGGCGCTGACAGCAGGGAAAACCGACTTTGAGAGGCTCCCGAGCGCTTCCAGACTCTTCCACCCCACTGGCCGTCTCCGGGAAAGAACCTACTCCGCCAGCAGCGACCGGGAGGGGTCAGTGATTGAGGGTGGGGAGGGCCGAGGTGGGGGGACGGGAGCAGCGTTGCTCCTTGAGAGAAGCTACTCCAAGTTTCTGCCCCCTCGAAACTCCCCCTACTGCTCTCCCTCCCCTTCCTCCTGGCACCCCCTTAAACAGTCCTCCGCCTTCGCCTCTCCTTCCTCCCCACGTCGACCCTCCCCTTCTCTTCCCCGCGCGTCTCCACCCCCCACCCCCTCTGGAGTCCTCTTCTCCGGCTCTTTGGGCGTCCGCCCCGTCAATCACCGCAGCAGCCTGCGCCAGCCCGGCCCTCTCCGCCTCCCAGGCTCTCCGAGCGCCTCCGGCTCCCGGCTCGGGCCGCCCTCAGCTCTGCGCGGAGCCGGGCGATCTGTCAACGGAGCCGGCCAGGGGGGAGCCGCCCGGCCCGCCGGGGCTCGAGTTACCAGTGACTGACAGCGTCTCCATGGCGAATAATTTGACTCCGACTATTGTCTGGCGCGGGCAGGCCCCGGGTCAGATAACCAGACCAATCAGGGCGCGGGCCGCCGCGCCTCATGCCCGCTTAGAATAATATTATTAAAAAAGCAGCGAGCGAGCTAGACGGGAGGGAGAGCGAGCGAGAAGCAAGCGAGGGAGCGGCGAACGGGCGGGCGCGGAGCATGCGGAGCGGCGCCCCAGGCGGCCCCTGGGC